AAAAAAAAAAAAAAAAGAAAAGAAGGGAAAAAGTGTGAATCAAAGTGAAGTACTTCTGCCCGAGTATGAAGATGATTTTCAAGTGGAATTAAGTGGAGTGTCACGTGGGAAGTGCCAACTGTGCTGTGAATTAGAGATTTCGAAATCTACGATCGAGAGTGTCGAATTAAATAATTTAAGGGCGTGATACGATCGGTGAAATTGTACGTGCTGGCGGATTGTGAAATAGGTATTAGTCTCGTTTAAATATGGTGAGTCGAAGGATATAGTTGAAGTTTCCGAAGGAACGTGCGCAAGGTCAGAACGGCGGGCATCTTGCAAGTTTAATCAGTCCATGCCTTGAATCTTAATTACGAACTTGCGCGCGTGCTGGCTTTTCGAGGCTTCATATGACAAGTTTATGCGAGACAATTTAATAGGGGCCACGTGACAAAATTACGACCGCGATTGGTCGTACAATATTACTATGAATTTGGAGAATTTTCGTCCTTCTGTCGTGTCAATTTTGAACGTAATTCCTTGGATAATTTTTCCTTCCTCTAATTTTTATTCGTCTTTTTGTTCGGAGATTAATCAGGACACTTTTATGACAGCAATCTCTTCAAGTGTTGGAATGAATTCTTCGCTCTTGTGTCAACGATTTTGAGAATAATTTGAAAAATAATTTAAAAAGAATGTATACTTGTTTTAGACTGAATAATTTTTTGGATAGCATTTTGCGAAGATCTTCATTCATATTGTTTGAAGATTAATTTTTATGGCTGTCATTTTCTTAAAGTATAAAAGATTGAAATTTACTATTACAGTATTTAGTTATTCTTAATGAGAAGTTTTTATTTACGAGTATTCGTAATAAATATTCAAAATTTAAATTTGTGGAAATTTGAATCCGTAAAATATTGTACAAAAATAACATAAGCAATATAAATGATGTAATAATATGAAAGATATGTTTCACTAAAATGTTTCGCTTAAATTTAATTCTTATTTGCTGAAATTTTTATTATGACGTGCAGTATAACAATATCAGTTGCTTTAAAAATAATCACATTGATATCTTATCACCTCCTCTATCGAATGAATCGAGAAAAGCATTGAATCGATCTGATCGATATTATTTCTTTTCTTTATTGGTAACCGAAAATCCCTCGTATTGCAGTTAATCGAGGCAATTAAATCCTACGATAATCAGAGCAATAAAAATTCTTCGATCGTTAATTAACTAAACTGCAGTTTCATACTTTCGCGAATACAAATCAATGAAATGGAGCTTGAGAAGTGGAAAGATCTTAATTTACTTTCGCAGGCGGAGCGACCACCCAACAATTATTAAATTCCATCTGATTCAGAATTAGCTTGTGTTTGATAAATTTTCAAACCTAGCCACTTTGGTTAAATCTTCCACAAACATAAGTATCCGTAATCTACCGCATAGATTTGCAATAATGAAGATGTAACCGTATAAATTCTAGCAACCAGAAAGAAAAAAAAAAAGAAGAATACACAAATAAAAACAACAACAACAGGAAGAAACGGTTCATTAGAACGGGCGATATTGTAATTCACGGTGAAATCGTTTCTCGATAAAAAGAGCTGCCTCTCCGAGCTCGTGAACAAACAACGCGCGGAACGTGCATCGAGGATAGCGTTGCTCATTTGAATAGAATGCACCGGTTATAAGTGTGTGCAAGTAACACCTTTCCCAAAGAGAAGAATCTCGCCGACAGCGTGAACGAAGTAATCGTGTCTCATTGAGCCGAGCGCTTAATCTAAATAGGTGCGATCCTATACGGCTTGCGAATAATTTCCTCGTTAGTACAAGGGCGAGAAGACTCTCGGGTTCAGTCTCTTCCTTTTTTTTTTTTTCTTCCGTGCGCCGCGTATTCTTTCGCGGAAGAATAATTCTTCTCAAATAAGTGAAGAGAAAGTTCACCCTGTTCCCGATGGTTACTCGTACAATATAAATTGCCTCACTTTCTTGCAAAAAGAATCGTACACAGTACGATTGGGCGAAGTTAATATTTTCTTCCCTTCGAATTTCAATTGATAAGATTATAAGATTCAAGACATGAATTTTATCTACGTTATAATACACTGTCGTACATTATAAATGAAAATTAAATTTGATGTAACAGTACGATATAATATGATAGCAATTGATTTATAATTGATTAGCTATTAATTATAATTAAAAATTGTGATGTATCATGATAATTGCAATACTTCTACACTAGAAAAACCAGCTTCAACATGAGGGTAGTTTTTAAGAAAATTCCTTTCATCATGTCCGAAGTGAGTTATTTCCTCCATTCAGTTATTTCTGCTTTTTTTTTTTTTTTTTTGTTTTTAGAGAAACTTGTTGGAAAACGCACTTGATGTAACGTCTTCTTAACAAGAGTTTCTAGAAACTAATTACTATTACATACACGAGTCGAGCCGCGCAGATTGGTTTTTCTTTTTAAAACCAGTTATTTCTTAACCGGGACAGCCAATTAAAAGGTGTGATCAATTGCGTTTATATTATCAGCGCTGCGGGGCGTGTTTTCATTGTGTAATTAAGGATATTAATTAAAATCCTGTCGATCGATACCGCCGAGCAGGCCACGAAGTTTCCAAGAGACTACCGGTTTCTCAATCAAAACACACTTTCCATTCTTCATCGTTGATCATCACGCAATTAACTCTACACTTGATCGAAAAACTGACCTGGTTGTGAACAATATTTTTATGATTTAAAATTAGCACATGAAAATCTCGTTGTTATAATAATATTATATAATATAGTATTAAATTAATATCTAACGTGAAAATTTAATATTGAATATTCAATGTTCAATCGTTAATATTTAATGTTAATACTCATGTTCTCTGTTGAAAAAGAATATCTCATTGTTATTGAAACTTTTCAGTAGAAGCTTAAATTTAATTTCAATTGCTAAATTAATATTTTTTAATACTGAATTCAGTTTGTAGGATTTAATATTTCTCACTAGATATTCACTAGATTTTACTAGATAATTCCCTTGGAAAACTTGAAAAATATAAAATTAAAAGATATTAAGTTAATATTTATATATACTGGAATTCAACCACTTCGTTTCAAGAATAATTTCTTCTTGTTACAACCGAGTGTTAAAGTTTTCCGCTTCGAAAGCATTTTCATTGTCGAAGTATACACGACGGAAACGATTAATGACCTGTCAGTTTGTTCATCTGTTGAGAAGATTTCAGTCAGTTTGCTGTTGAATTCGTTTCCTCGAAACTTGAACCATTTCCATTTCCATTTCTTTTTTTTTTTTTTTTTTTTTTTGCAATTGAAGAAGATCACCCATGCGTGGATCGAGTGGCTCGTCTCTCGATCTTGTTTCTTGTTCGCTTCGCTAAGAGAAGATATAACCGTTCTCTAATTATGCTTTTTTGATTTATCTTCGCTTTTGCAGACCAACGATAGAAACATTCGGCCGTATCCAAACACGAAGACCGCGTAGAACGAACTTCCGGGATCTATAAAAAGTATTAGATTGATGACCTCTGTTCAGACGCATAATTACGCGAAAACCGTAACGTTGATGAAACTCTTCGTTCTGAGAAAAAACGCTGTCTCTAGTGGAATAAAGAAAAATTAATGATTATTTTTCGTACTGAATATTCCATTAAAACTGCCAAGAATAAATACGTCGTTAATCGTTGGTGATAAGGTATCAATGCTCTTTTCAATTATGAACAGTATGAAATAAATCGAGGTTTATTAATTATGTATAAACAAAAAAAAAAGGGATAATAAGTTTTCAAAGTCTTTCTTGAAATTTTCTAAAATTTTTTCATGACTTTAATGTTTCTTTATTTTTTATTTTTCATTTCGAAGGCACGAAGAATCAACTTTATTCCATTGAATGTGATATTTATAAAAATAGAATACAAAATAGAAGAAATTACATTATGTGTAGAATAATAAAAGTATATTATAAAAATGATGAAAATTGTTATTTTAAAAATAGAATACAAGGTTGAAGTTTTGTCAGAAACGTTGACATCATACCGCGTTCCGAACACATAATCCTTGAATCTATTTACAAATATATTCAGTAGCTAAAATTTGTCGTTCCAAATGAATCCCCCCGGTTTTCCAATTATTTTCACGTAATATTAAAAAAAACAGAGATTCATTTCCTCATTTCTTTATTGAGAATACAGCTTCGATTAGCTTATTAATAATAAATCATACAAGGATAACTAAATAAACGTTTGAAATATTTTAAAATATTATTGTAGAGCAGGATTTTTCAAAATGAGAGAGAAATAAAATTTTCTAATAAAAAGGAACGCTCGAAAACGTTTGGAAAAAATATTAAACGACTTATGTAACACGAAGATTGCGCACTTAAATATTAATCAAACAATTATTTACTTAATTTCCATTTACCTTCTGCTCGTTACTCTAATATAATTCGTTTTCATTAGGAAGTAGGTTAACAACCTCGTAATTCTTCCCGGATGTTATCAGATCTCACAAGCTGAGGGAAAATCTGAGATAGAAATTATCTCTTCAATATTATCAGAAAAATAAATTCATCGATCTCCTCTCG